AAATGCCTTTGAAGAATTTAAGATCGGCTTGAAATTCCCTCTATATCGAAGGTACCAAACTGGACGAAAAGTTCGGTGTAGATCACCTGTGATATTTACTTGGAACGGCTGTGGACAAGGATCGTCACCTCCGAAGACAAACACCTGAAATTCTTTTCATTTTTTTGAAGACAAAAAAAGAAATGATGTGGTGGAGATGAGGGTAGGTCAAAATGTCTTACGTTATTCTGCAGCCACTGGTCAGATATCCCTATGGTCTCTCGAATGATATCCTTTAGCGTAATATTGTGTATCCTTTCAATTTCTTCGCTGGTGAATATGCCATTCAGTCTGTTTTCGAACCAGAACCTGTAAAAGGAATCCCTTTCTCAATCCTATCCATAGGTTGATTTATTACTTTGACAATTAAACAAATAAATACCCATTAATAGTTGATTTAATATACTACATATAGTAATAACATTAAGGAACTATTGAAGTTGAAATGGGAACCTTCTGAAGGATTGCCTAAATTTCTTCAAACTTATCAATCGCTTATCAACTTATCAACCGTCAATACTTAAAACCAACAGAGGAACCCCAAAGCTTACCTATCTGAGCTGCGGAGTCGATCGAACTGCTCCTTCAATATTGCTTTGAACAGTTCACCCGGCTCGCCGTCCACTTCCAGCATCCCACCCACAAACGCATCCAAGCCACCGATGTCGCCGCCATAGAGGTTAGAAAGACTGTCGAATAACTAAATCGATTTCGATATCCAGTGGGAAATATAAAATTTTGTCTTATTTTATCAACATTTCGGTTTTTTTAAAGATGGGTTCAGCTTATGCTATCCTTACCACCAGTGAACGCTCTTCTATGAACAACACCTTCAAATAGCCCATTCAATTTTCGCTTCAAAGGCTCAAAGGAGCGATCACGCTGGCTTCAAGGTGGAACCGCTACCTACGCGTTATCAACCGATAAGATCTGAGATAGATATGGTTGGACGAGCGTAACCTCATGAAAGATAGAGGAGCGACCGACTTCTACCTTCGATAGGGAACTAAAGATCAGTTCGAAACCCATTCGCATTTGCTAATACGAATGTGTTGAAATTAGTTCCACAATCCTTGGAGCTTGATTGGGTTTTTTTTTTCGACATTTAGGAAGAGTAAGAACCCGGAAATTAGAATATTATCACTCAAGCTTGCACTTGTTTTGTCGTACATAACTGCACGCTGTTTCGCAACCGCACACGTGAGGCGTAAGACCCCTCTATGTATAACTAGCTTTAACATTGATGACCGTTTAGTATACGATGTAGGTGTATTCAAACGATTTTAGCGGGATTAAAGTGTTAAGTAGGAAGAGATTCTAAGAAATGTCAGTGAGATAGCACTTACGACTTTGTTCGTCTGGTACAGCTTCGGGTTGATCGTATGCCATTCTCTCTCTCCGGCAAATTGAACCTCTTCCTCAGGGTGTTATACGACGAAAGGCCGCCATCTCGTCCTCGCATGATCGTCGAAGCCACAGCGTCCAATCGAGAAGTGCAAGGGCCCGTAGGAATAATCTAAAAACCCTCCTCGGTCCTACGATAATTTCATTGAAAAATGCAAGTTGAAGCTATTCGTCCTTTGATTCTTCAATCACTAGGACCACTGGTACTTTTATCTAGATAGGAACATTTTAGGACCTCTACCTCGTAAGTCTTCAACAACGATGACATCCTCAGCTTCGCCCCACTTGAGAGATCATTCCAAGTATGAACTCGTCCATATCGAATATTCCTCTACGATATCTTGCGAATTCCACCTTAATGGGACACTTTTGTAAGCATCGGATAAGAAAAACAGATAGGTTGATTAGTTTCGTCGGGAAAGAAAAGATTAGGCGTTGAACAACTCCACTTTGGGATGCGCCACGCCTTCTATTTCCTTTGAGGGTCGTAGTGGAACTTCAACTTCGATTTGGATTTTACAATGAATAACGGAAGACAACCAGTGCATAAGTCACATTCACACTACAGTATTACTGTCCTCCATTTGATTAGCAAAGGACTTGAAGGCTTACTTGATCGACACAACGACATACGGTAGCGGTCAAAAGTGTTCATCGAAACGGTTTTTCGCACTCCTTTCTTTTGCCAGGAAAAAAAATCAGTGGTGATATCGAAAGTTTTTTCTTTCGAATATTTTGATTCTTTTGAAATCTAAGAATATAAAAACATTATAAAACATTGTATATTAATCTTTGTAAGACGTTGCTCAAATAAAAAATAAAAATAATGTATGAAAAATCGTTTCGGCGAACTCCCCAACAACCCGCGAGTGTCGATTCTTAAATAAATGGTCCCAGTGTTAGCAGGCTCTATTGACAAACGGCGTAGGCGTTGTTTTTCTTTCGAGTGGAGTTAGGCTACTCTAATAGTGTGCCTTCGTTTGTGTTTCAGGGGGGAGGGAAGTGGGTAAGGCGAGAATTATTCACACAGAAAAAGTTGAGCCACAGGACCTTTTCCACCTCAGAAAGAGTCCAACCTATGACAATGACAAAGTTTTAGCTATCATTGTGAATATTACCAGTTCTGACAGAGACGAGCGGCAGGGAAATCGCCGACTTTTTTACGGAACTTGCAGGCTTCCGTGTTTTTCCGAAGAATCATAGCTGATGGAATCTGAACACGTGATCTTCATACGATGCTCTTCTTACTAGTCACACCTCCAGGGTCAACCGTCACGTGGACCAATTTTCGAAAATTTTACGATCTCCCCTCGCCGCACCCTGTCTGGAGGGCCTCGATAGACGAGCCTCAAACATCGAGTCTTATTCCCTTTCCCTCACGATCATTCTCCGCCACCTTGCGCCCCCATCTTCATCACCAGCGGTCTATATTGGCTCTGATCGCGTGAGACCAAGCCGACACCAGCTCAACCCCGCCCATTTTGCGCTTCGAAAACTCGCTCTGTCGACCGGGGAGAGGTATACATCGAATGTGGAACGGTAACCCAAATTTTCACACATAACGAATAAGCTCACCCAAAATCTCAGCCCTATATGATCTCTCCCGTTCCATAAAAAATCATTCCTTCCCTCTATATAACACTTAACGCTAACCTCACGCGAGATTACAACGCCCTTCTTCCACCTCCAAGTACGACCCACGTCCGCTGGCCAACTGTCTCAGCGACGGTGGAGGCTCGTATTTGGAGGTGCGACAAGATTTTAGCGACTTTGTCCAACGGACGGTTGGGCGGCTCTTATTTGGGGGTCGGGAAACACGGTTGTTGACACAACACACGTTGTTGTGGAAACACGGCGGTTGACCCTATGCAATACTATCTCTAAACAGCAATAAGGAATAATTCACTAGGAAAAAGCACATCAACTTGACAAATCGTCATTGCACCATATTCTGGATGCCGCAGCGAGCAAATGAATGTGAGATTCCTGGTGGCACATGGGGCATGTATTGCTTGTACAGGCTCCACGTCGTCGTTGATCAGCACAGGCAGAAAGTCGTAATAAATGATTTTCTGAAAGTATAGCTGCTTCGTTGCTTTATATGTACATTTCTAAGTTGAGAGCGTTTTAGATTTTGTGCCTTATTGGGCGTATTTTGTGTAGGTTTCTAGCGGTAAATAGAAAAGAAAGCAATCCTTATAATTAGTCTTATTGTAATGAAGGCAAGTGAAAAGTGAAATAAGGCTGCTTAGAACCTTTGAAATCACAGCGCGCGCCGATCAAAGGGGCGGAGTTTGCGCTTCGCCCCATAAGAAACTCATTGATTGATTCCAATACGTTTACCGTATTCTAAGGTACTTTACCATATTAGCGGGAAGGCAAACCAAGGAAAGGTGGGGAGCAATCCCAATCCCGCAATAGCTGCGCGCTTTGGATTTTACGATCCATAAGGGCTTTTTTTGCTTCATTCCATGACTGAGGGACCAGGTAGCATAAAATACGCTTATTTTTGAGCTTACACGCCCCACCTTTCCGGAATGTCTTTAAAAGCATGTAGCGTTCAGGCACAGCTGTAAAGCTACTTCGAAAATGGCTTCGAAGGGCAAACGTATGTATCATCAAGATCATCGAGAAATTTTCAGAAGGCATATTGCTAACGTCTCCCCCCCCTCTCCTGCCGCCTTGCTTCCAAGCACTTCCCTAGACAATAATATTCCAAGTTTAGCGATCATTTATAATGTACCTGAATGGTAGCGATCACCCATCTTCGAGCAGCTTGAAAAAGCTCCTCATCGTTCCATGCAGGATATTCCTCTTTCATTCTGAAATAGAGATGATTAGCAAAAATCTGTGCACTAAAAAGTAATACGGTAAAACTGTAAAAATATCATTATTATACACCTCTTGGCTATGACATTGTGCCACCTGAAGAGCATAATACCTATGGAAAGAAGACCAGGGTTCTCATTCACCCGCGAGTCGCCTAGCACTGAAACGAGTGATTTGTAGCAATAAATACATAGAATTCTAAGTTCACCATGAGCCGAGGAAAACAGGTATCTAGGAAAAGGCTAAGAAATAGGGCTAAAAGAATAGTTCCTTACGGAAAAGGCGCTCAGGACTGAGTAGGCGATGGGCTTGTGGGGGTGGAGGATTGCTCAGCGGAACATCAGCGTCGTTCATTGGTGGGTAACTGAAAGCAGTGGAATTACAGGATTTTGAATGACCGCAATTGGCGCAACAGACCCTTTTTCAGATCCCTCCTTGAAAGTGCCATTTTCAAAAGATCTCATTGATGCTACCCATGGCTCCGTAGCACTGTATATGAATGACGCATCAATCCATGCAGTTCTTTCGTTAACCTGAAAATATCCTCAAAAAATCAATAAAAAATGCTCTATAAGCATTATCAGTATATACAAAGCGTTTTTAGCAGCCGAAACAAAAGGCGTGTCTTTCGATGTTCTGACTGCCTTTTTCGATGAATCATGCCTTCAAATCCTTTTTCCCTCATAACTCTGCCAGCATTTCATCGCATTTATTGGATAAATATACAAATAAATAAACAAATATTCCGCTCGTGCAGCAGAAGTACCGCCAGTGTTACAG